CACTCACTTCGAGAAGGTAGCATGATCCCATCGCACAGCCTGCACTCGGCATCGCAATCAGTAGCTGTCTGGGGCTCACGGCTGCGGTGGGACTCGGGGCTGGAGGGCCAGCGGGCGGGGTGCGCAAGATCGAGTGTCTGCGGTTTCGGGTGGGCAGGGATGGATATGAGAGTCCGGTTGAGGAGGGTGATGAGGAGGAAGAGGGTGTGGGTGCAGGGGCTGGAGATGAAGGGGGTGCAGTGGGAGCTGCGGCCGAGGGCGATGCAGATACGGGTGCGGGTGCTGATGCGAGTGGCAGGAGACAAGGCAGCAGCGTCAAGGAAACATGGGATGTCTACTTTGAAGTCACATTCGGCGGGCTCAGGGGCGAGTGGGGCATCAAGGGCCTCGTGATCGGGGCAACAGACGGACAAGGAGGCAAACGTACACGCGGTCCTCGTACCAGCGGTGCAGGCGCTGCTGGTAACCAGGACCACAACGACGACGACGACGATGAAGACGACGACGACGGTGCTGCAGCCTTGAACAAAGAAGATGCGGCAACGCATTGGAAGAGAAGGTTTTTGGATGCGCGGGCGCGCTGTAGACGGGTGGAGGAGGAGGTTGAGGGCTTGAAGGAGAGGGTTTTGGATGTTTTGTTGTAAATTAGGGGGGTTTTTTTTCTCGGGGGCGCATGGGGGGTTTAGGGGCACAAGGGGTTGTGGTTAGGATTGGGATTGGGATTTGTTATATACCCCTATTCATGGTTTTGGTATTTGTGTTTGGGTCATGGGTTGGAGGGATGAGGGAGGGAGGATTTGGATGGATGGGTGGATGAGTTGTGCATGGATGGATGAATGGACGAATGGTGTATGTAGTTGCCAAATCTGACGTATGTATGCATGTATCTAATCCGAGACTTTCAACATGGCGTCTCCTCAACCCTAGCCCCCATCCCACCACCACCACTCATCTCCTCTGTGAAGTTTTCTGCCAGCAATCTACAAGGAGACTGCAATCCTTGCCTAGTATTTCATGACATGACATTGTACATGCCCACACCGCCCCTCCACCACCAACACCACTCTTCCCCATGACAACATATCCCCTGCCCCAAACACATCTAGAGAAGTCAACACGCCTACGTCAATCCACCCACTGAACCAGCACCACCATTACTACCACTATTCTCCTGCACACCATCATCAACCATCACAGCATCCTCCTTTTCCCAAGGCTTCCTCCGCCGCTCCTTGGTCGGCTGGCTGCCTTGGCCTTCGAGGACGGTGGGGGGAATCTGTTTGATGCCAGGGATGGGCTTGCCGTGCGCAACAGTGGTATTTGTCTTC